CTGGGATCGTCGGCTCTGGAATTCCGGGGAGGATTTTCCATCCAGGGAAAATGAGGGAACAACGCTGGGATGGATCCTGCTCTGCTCCTTTGGGATGGGGATCCCGAATTTCGGGGATCTGGGGAGAGGAGGGGCAGGGAAAGATGGGAAGATCCTTTGGGAATTATGGGATGGGATTTATGGGATGGAAAAGGGAAGGACAGGAAATGGATCCCACTGAAAGAACCACCACCATCGCCTCCAGTTTTCTTTCTTCTTTCCTAACTTTATTTCCTTTTTTCCCAAATATTTTGTTTTTCGTCCCAACCCTTTTCCAGCCAGTCTGGGGTGGGAACAGGGAAAAGGGAAAAGGGAAAGGAAGGAAAAGGGAGGAGCATCAAAAGGGAAGAGCAGGGGGAAGGGGAAGCATAAGAAATCGATCCCTTTAAAAAAGCACCACCACCACCTCAATTTTTTAATTCTCTTTCCTCCTTTTTCCCAAACATTTTGTTTTTCATCCCAACCCTTTTCCAGCCAGTCTGGGGTGGGAACAGGGAAAAGGGAAGGACAGGAAAGAGGGAAGGACAGGAAAGAGGGAAGGACAGGAAAGAGGAAAGGACAGGAGATCAATTCCACCAACACCACCTCCACTTTGTAATTCTGTTTTTTCCTTTTTCCCAAACGTTTTGTTTTTCATCCCAACCCTTTTCCAGCCAGTCTGGGGTGGGAACAGGGAAAAGATGGGAAAAAGGAAGGGCAGGGAAATGGGAAGAAGGAGAAGACTGATGGAAGAAGCAGGAGATTGATGATTGATCCCACTGAAAAACCCCCGCCACCACCTCCACTTTTTAATTTTGTTTCCTATTTTTCCCCAACATTTTGTTTCTGATTGCAGCCAGTCCGGCTGGCCCCGGAGTGGGAGTTCATCAAATCCCTCATGGCCATCACCTCCACTTTTCCTCCTTTTTTCCTCTTTTTTTCCCAAACATTTTGCTTCTCCAGCCAGTCTGGGGTGGCAATGAGGAAGGACGGGGAAAAGGGAAGGAAAAGGGAAGGGCAGGGAAAGAGGAAGCACAGGAAGTCGATCTCACTGAAAAACCACCAACACCACCTCCACTTTGTTTCTGTTTTCTCCTTTTTCCCGAACATTCTGTTTTTCATCCCAACGCTTTTCCAGCCAGTCTGGGGTGGGAACAGAGAAAAGA